TGACTATGTATTAGAATGCTATTAAAAATGCAAAACTGATTTTGCAAACTTGGGGGGAATTTTAGTGTCACAAATGAAAAATTATATTTTAGGAAACTGTACAGAAAAAACAAATAGTTTACGTTTTAAGATTTTAGTTTAATTTTAAGTATAAGCAAAAAAATGGGAACATAGCTGCATATTTTATCATAGGCAAGGTGAGCCAAATTTAATTTTGAGCCTAATTATCAAAAATATTTATATCATACTGCTGGAAATCGTAGGTTTTTTTCTCTTCAAATGAAAAATTCATCAGTAATCCAGGTACTATGAAGTTACTTCTTTAATGGCTAAAGAGTGTTTTATTCCAAAGACAGCCACACACAACACAAAACAACATAAAAGAAAGCTAACTATATACATTTAATTTTAATATTTTAACACCATTTTGATTCTATCCTCGCCAACGTAATCACTATCCCGCTCATTCTGCCATGTTCTCCCACTCCGCCATGTTGTTGACCTCCACCATCTTGTAGACTTCCTTCCTCCTTCTCTCCGTTTTTCTCTCCTCCTCCTTTGATGGCCGCGCCACCTATAAAGATTTTGAAACTTCCGGGCGAATCTTACATGCCCCACCAATGGAAGTACATGCGTCACCTTAAATGACCAGATGCTACAAGAAAGAGGTCACACACACACACACACAATGTCTAAACCTTAGCTGAAGAGAGAGTGCGCTATCTTACTATGAATATCGAGCTACTCAATAACATTCTGGAATTAGTTCTAAGAGTACACAGGTAAAAATATGCTAAATACGTAAATAAGTCAGTAATAGACGGTTTCTGAGCAAACTATGGCAATTCCTGTTTTAAATGAATACTACAGTTGACATATATGCATATACAACACTAACAAAAAAACAATAATAAGAAAAAGTATACGTTATACTCCAAAATAGCTAATATATAAATCAATCAATAATAGACGTTTTCCAAGTAACCTACAAAAATTTCACTTTTGACTGAATTTGACGGTTATTATATATGCACATACAACATTAACAAAAAAAATAAGCATTAGGATACATTATTCTCCAAAACAGCTCATACATACATCAATCTATAATAGACGTTTTCCAAGTAAACTACAAAAATTTCACTTTTAACCGAATATGACGGTTACCATATATGCATATACAACATTAACAAAAACAAACAAAAAGCATTAATAACTTTAAAGATACATTACGATTATGTCTCTGCTACTCCTCTTTATTTGCTCCCAGTATAAACGAGGCTTTATCTCCTGGAATGGTCACTTTCGGTTTGGAGCGCCGTTTAAAACAACGTTTCTGAAATTCTATTTCCCTTTTCCTCAATTTGCGTACAACTCCCTTCTTCATCCACTCTGAGTCAACGATTTTAAAGTCTAGGGAACGGTTTTCACCCCTAACCTTCCCGTCCCAGTAGATGTTGTTGTGTGTTCTCAATTTAAATCGAAATCGTTGCCTTATTCGATTTTCTTGCGATTATAGTACTATCTTCACAGTACCATCTCTCTGAATAAAATACGTCAGTTTCCACGCAAGTTTTCCCATTCCGCTTTTATTCTGTGAATATTCGCCTCTTAAACTCCAGTTCTGGGGTATAAGTACCATGTTGCTTGAGGCTTTTAGATTCACTTTTTGTTGTAACTCCGCAACTGTCATTCTGCTTAAATTTTTGCCTTTTCTTTTAGGCAATTTTGGCTTTTCTTCTTCAATTTCATCCTCATCAAAGCCAATTCGCTCTATGCTAAGGATTACGGGATTAAGATCATTTTTATCCTTTATTACATCAACTGATATTTTTTCCTTTTCTTTCACCACAACAACAGATTGTGCTACGGTATATTGATCCGCACTACGCGTCTGAACTTGTTCACCTTTAAACACAAGAACATTCTCGATTGCTTTGGTTACCTCCATATCTTCATCTGACAATTTTTCCTGCTCTTCATTTAACAATTGATTATGCTCGTTCATTCTTTTACCTCTTTCTTCTGGTAAACCCTTCTGTACTTCTTTCATTCTCGTTTTACGTTCCTCTCGAATATGCCGCATCTGCTCTTTCATAAACCATCTTTAATTCTTCGTTCTCATTTCTTCTTCCAAAGCTATTCTTTCGTTCATTCTTCTTTCTTCTTCCATCTTCCGTCCTTCCTCCACTGCTTTGGCTTCTTCATCAGCCTTGAGTCTATCCTCCACTTCAACCTTGCGTCTGGTCTCACTGCTAAGATTGGATCTCACTTCATTTCCAATGTTGCCTCTATCTATCGACACTTCTATGTCTAGGCATGCTCTTGCGAAATGACCTTCTCCTTCCAACTTTATTAGTTTTTTCTGGGTTTCGAACTCCATTTCGACATCTCTATCCTCTGCTCGAAATCAGCCCGACTCTTCCTTGCCGCTATTTCTATCTCTTTTCTTTTTCTCTCAGCCAATTCCATCGCTTTTTTTCTTTTTCTCTTAGCCAATTCTATCTCCTCTTTTCTTTTCCTCTCATCCAATTCTATCTCTTCTTTTCTCTCGCGTTCCTCTATAATAGTGTTAAAAATTCTCTACAAAACTTCTCGTCGAAGTTTTAGAAGATTAGAGAGTCAGGCCTGGCAGTGTTTAGGGGAAAAAACTGTTTTTCAAAGATTTCTTTTGTTTGCTTTTACGTTTTATCGTTTTACTGCAAGCATTTAAGGAGCACGTTTTATTACTTTTATTGTTATTTAAGCTTTTTTTAATTTTTTAATTAATTTCTAAGCTTACATTATTGAATGATGTCTTAAGGTTCAGGCAGTCAGCTATATTACAAGGTGGTCAGAACTAATCAACGGACGCTTGACAACTTTGGAAAATGGAATGCGAAGAGAATGGAAGCGATATGGGCTGGAGGGATGCTTCTTAATAATTGTTAATTTCAGTCTTAGAACCTTTTTGCGGTTTGGGGAAGATTGGGCATTTAGAGTAATTGGCCATGTGTCCGTACACATGGAAGTTAATGCAATATGTTTTTTCGACTCGTTTGATAACCTCAGTCGCGTAAATGGCGTGCTTCTCCACATTTTCGGCAGCAGAATGTGATATGGCAGTTTTCCTCTGTGTGCTGGAATTTCTTGCACGAGTGGCTTAGGGCTACCCCTCTGCCATCGTGGCCTTCGTCTCTGATCGTAAAGTAGCAGAATTTGGCGATGTGAAAATTTTTTAAATGATCCAGATTCTTAGGCCGAGTCACAAAAAAAACTGGGAGTGTCTGCTTCGTAATTCTTCCTAAGATTTGGGTGATTTTATTTGTGATGAATCCCGGTTCTATAAGATTGTTTTTAATGTCCTCAATGTAGGTATCTTTCAGTAGTCCTTTGATTACAATTTTTATTGTTCGTTGAACTTTTGGTTTTAGTACAAAATATTGGTAATTAAACTGCTCCAAAACGTGGTTTAAATATTTGTATTCTTCCTAAGTGTTTGTGTATAGCTTAATGAATTCTCTGGATTTTTTTACTTCGGTGAGTGGGGATAGAGTCCGTTACTGCTGTTAAAAGTTGTATGAAGTGTTTTTCTATTTTCAACATGAAGGTGGTGGAAGAGTGTTGGACGTGGATTCATAAGCTTCGTTGTTTGTGACTTGTAGATTGTTTTAAGTGGTGTTTAAGGTTCCTGTTTTATCTGTAGTTTCGTTAAGACTTGAAATTTTTGAAGTTATACTTCTGATTTGCCGTTTGGGAAGAAGGATGAAGATAAATTTTTACGATGCTCACGCACGCGAACATGCTTTGTCTAGAAATATAGAGTATTGAACAGATCATTCCCACCTTGGAAATCCTCAGAAAAACATTTTTCCCTTCACTTCCCTGAAGAAGGTGTGACAAATCTATATGGAACTTTATCACTAACCTTCTGAGTCGTCTTTTTTAGGGAAATTTAATTCCCTACCTGTTTCCAATCAGCTCCAAAAAGAGGACTGGATTCCTTGTTATGCAGATTAGCTAAAGTATTTAAGTTAAACGGAATAGTAAAGATATAGCAGTAGGAGAGAGATTGATTGAATATTAACGTCGCACTGTTCAGCTACACGAGGGCTTTTGGCGACGGACCACGTAATTTTGAACCATGGTCAAGTGACGTGGACGAAACCTGAGCTGGCACCCCCTCTCCTAACTACCACACCAATGGGAGGACGTTTCAGCTCTCGACAGATTTAACGTGCATCGCTGCCCTACACGGCGGGTCTTTAGTGGTACTGGGCCCGAACCCGTGACAAAGTAAGCAACGGTCCGATACCTATACCACTCGGCTACTGCGGCCACGCAGTAGGAGAGAGAGATTGAAGCAGAAAGTTATAATAGGGAAGTTAGATTTATAATTGAAGATTTCTTGGTCGATAATTTAATCTCAGGAAGAGTTGAGATTCAGTGTGGTAAATATTGATTTATAATTAAAGTCTCATTAAAGCTTTATATTAGGAGTGAGATTAAAGTTAAATGTTCAATAGGAACATTATAGAATATAATTCTGGGATCTCTTATCGCGGTAATCTCTGCGTGATCGATATTCTAATTGTTAATTAATTGGATCATTAAATATTTAAGTTAATTTAAAGGAAAGACCCTTTTTTATACCTCATATAACTATTTCTTGATTTATTTGTTATTAAAAGTCTTTGATTCTATTTGGGAAAGATTACCAAATAAAGAAAGTTATTTATAAAAATAGCTACTGGTTCTTATATGACTACAACTTACTCTTGTTCTCAAAGTGAGGGGTCCAAGGGGACCTTCACAAAGGGTCACCCAGGTTTGAACCGGGGACCTCTCGATCTGCAGTCGGAAGCTTTACCACTGAGCTACACCCCCCAACTCTGCGAACCTTTGCTTTGCGTTCCGTAGGAACGGATACGAAAATGCTTTATATAGAAGTATACGGAATGGAACAAATTATTCCCACCTTCGAAATTTTCAAAAAATATTTTCCTTCATTTTCTTGAAGATGAGGGAACCTGGGTTTGAACCAGGGACCTCTCGATTTGCAGACGAATGCTCTAGATAATTAATTTGATTTCCACAGGAACGGATACGAAAATGCCTTGTCTGGCAATATACAGGACGGAACAGATCATTCCCCCTTCGGAATTCTCAAAAAAAAAATACTTCTTCACTATATTAGTTATACTTCTTTTTGGAAGTTAGGGAAAAAGTATGCGGGTAAATTTTTACGATGCGCGCTCACACCGACACGGATGCACAGGCATACTTTCAAGACACCGATGCGCGCGCACACCGTTGTATAATATTTTAACATGCCATTTTTTGGTGCTATGGGACTGATATTTGGGGGATCATAAAAACTATTCTTATAAACCATAACAGTTGGGACGCATTCCCCCTGTGCATTCCTTCCCTCTACAGAATTTTGGCCAATATCTCGACACCCGAGCATCACGGTCCATTCGGACCTGACTTACTCGATCCCTCTCTATCTGCTCTCTCTTCCAGTTATTATAATTTCATGCGTGTGTGTGCTCATAAGGCTATCTATTTCTTCCATAGTTTTTAATTGCCTTAAACTTTTTTTAATTTGTTTAAATTCACTATATCTTGGATCCTATTCGAGTCTCGGACTTGAGATTTGAACCAAATGTTCCACTTATCAAGACCCATCCAGTCATCTACTTCATTCCCATCATGTAAGGGGGAGGGCTTAAGCACTAAAATAGCATGCTCCCATTTTAATCCTATGGGGACTGGAAAAAATTTCACCCCTTCCCATAAGCAATTGAGCTTGGAACTTGATTTTCGGTGGTCCACCATATTTTCGTATGAGCGCGAGGGTTACGTGGAATTGACCCCTCCCTACAGGGCTTCGCCATTATTAACTTGATTCCTATGCCACCTTGGTCGACCACACCGGCTGAATTCGATTGTTCTTCCTATGAACACCCTAGATAAATTGTTTCAGGACCATATAGCTCCCTTTCTTCACCTATATTTAACATTTTAAAATCATTTTAAAGTTATAATTTTTTATAATCCCGCATAACTCCGAGGAGTTTTGAGATTCGTCAATGAAACTCTGACCATAGATTCTCCTCGTTGTGCGGTTTCATCTGTTGTAATTCGTGTGTAGACAGAGGGCTTTGGGTAAGGGAGCGTTATCACTAAAATTAAAATTCCTATGTTATTCCTAAAAGGTTCGATCTCATGATGACGTAACGATATTACAGAGATAGAAGGATGAAACTTTGGGATCACTTACTACACTGTATATCGCTGGGATGTACGTGAGTTTTTACTTGACAGTTGTAACCCCCGGAGGAGTTAGATTCGTTTCCTTGTCCCGAGCTAGCACCACCCCATTTGCAATTACAGACTCTGGACCGAATCGAAAGGATTCTTTTTATGTTTCCTCACAACCAGGCCCAGTTTCGAGTTGCTGGGTGCCTTGCTTCTATTTTATTTAAATGTTTTAGTTAGTTTAAAATGACCATAACTCGGGATGTCTTAATTTTCTAAGGAACGATTCTTCCCGACGAGACATTCAATGCGAAGTCTCAGGTGTCACATTCGGTTCAACTCATCTCACAGTGCAGTCTGCCGAACCCCCCACATTTTGTTGGTCGTATTGTCCCTGTGGGGGGTGTTTAAATTTATTTAAATCGTGATTATCTCGGGTTTGGCTGATCCGATTGACTGAAGGTTAGTATCGTTCAACTGTGCTTGTGACCGCCTTTCGTCAGCAGCCCAGCTTGCTATGCTCAAGAATTTTAGAAATATTTTAATCTTGTTACGCCAAAGAAGTATAACTTCTTACGTGCGTATATAAGTACACACACACTTTTTTTTTTATTTTTAGGTCTTTTTAGGCTGAATAGGGGGATTATTAAAAGAAAGCGCAGCAACTTGCTGAGTTAAGACAGTTAAAGCTTGTATCGTGTGTTGAAGGGTTTGCAAAATAATAGCCTGTGGAGAATTTCCTCCGGAGTAAAATTTTGTATAATTGGGGGTTATCAATGATTCGATTGGCCTGGTTTTGCGGAGATGTTGCACACGATTTCCTCTTTTTAGTGGAATTATTGGTTGAGCGTTTTTATTAGCAACTGTGTTTTTGTTTGCAGTTGCTTGTGTATAAATGATGTTTGGGCGAATGATACTATCCTCTACAGTGGAATAAATGTTGGTTGAAGTATTGGAACCTTGACGAGGTTTAGGAAAGAGGAGTAATTGGCCATGTGTCCGTACACATGACAGTTAATGCAATATGTCTTTTCGACTCGTTTGATAACGCAGTCGTGTGTCTGGCGTGCCTCTCCTCACTTCAGTTCGCGCGGTGTAATGTGGAAATTTTCCGCGTTGTGTTAAGTAGCAGATTTTGGTGATGTAGAATTTTTTTAAATTATGTGGATTCCTAGGCAAAGTTACCAAGACAACTGGAAGTGTTTGCTTAGTAATTCTTCCTACGAGTTGGGTGACTTTATCTATAGTGAATCCGAGATCTATAAGTTTGTCTTTAATGTCATCACACACACACACACACAGTGTTGGTGTCCTTCGTTAGTCCTTTGATTACAATTTTTTGGGGGGGCGTTGATCTTTTGGTTTTATTACAATGTATTAGAATTTAAGTAACTACAAAACGTAGTTTATTGATCTGTATTCATCAAAAGTGTTTGTGTATAGCTTAATGTATTTTTCGGACTTTTTACTTCGGAGAGTGGAGATGGCGTCCGTTAGAGTTTTTAAGTGTTCCATGAAATGTTTTTCAATTTTCAGCAAGACCAGTGGTGGGAGTTTATTGGACGTGGGTTTATTAGTGTTGTCGTTTGTGATTTGCGGATTGTTTTCAGTGGTGTTAGAGCTGCCTGCTATATCTATAGTTTCTTGAAGACTGGCAAATTTATTTTGAGTTTCTAGGTTAAATTTCGTAATTTCAAGTGAAGGTTTTTGACAGATTGTCTCGAATTTGGCGAGATGAATTAATCTACGTATTCCTTCCTTTTAATGGGGTTAACTTTAGATAATTCTGGAAATTCTGAAGAATTAACTTCGGTTGGCGAGTTAAAGGGGTTTCTTTGTATGGAGTAGCCAGAAGTATTACAGCGAGGTAAAGTGTTAAACCTACTTACCGCTGCGTCAAGTCGTTCTTTAAGGTATGTCTGTCTCTAGATCAGTTTTTGCACATTTGAAGGTCTTCCTCTTCTATGTAGGGTTCGAGGGAATTTAAGGTGTGCGTCACTCCAGTGTGCATAATGGTGTACTTTCGAATGTCAGCATTGCAGAGTTGTAGAAAGTAGCAGTTGGAAATTTGAGGTGTGGAGGATCCTTAAGAGGGAAATGATTCCGATTGTGCATAATCCAAAATCGTGGCTTGGTCAGCAGGAAGTTCCATGTCGTAATCCATGAAGACAAAACGTGAGAAGAAAAAAAAGAGAAGTGAAATGCTGTAAAAATACAGCGACAGTTTAAAATAGTCGTCGCATAAATTATAGAGATTTTGAAATACGAAAACAGATATGTTGAAGTAATCTTTCAAAACTGATCGAATTGATGGAATGTCAATCATAATCCAAAAGTTCTAAAGTTGCTAAAACGTATCAAGAAGAAGTTGGGGGGGTCTTTGGGAAACTGGATTTTATGAAATCCGCCGTCCCATATCGAAAGTAGTTGAATCATTAAAAAGTGGTATTTGGAAATTCTAATGCACATAATGTAATTATAGTTCACTATTGTTCTTAAAAATCTATTGTCCGAAATGTTCAAAATGTTTAATCATGAGTTCGTTTGCTGTCTTGGGTGAAATAGTAGAGAGTCTTGAGAGTTCGTTGTGGCTCGCGAGGAGCCGTGCTTTCCTTAACAGTGTGGTTGGAGCATGATGATTGATGGGGTGACATCGGAGGTGAAGCGCTTGTCCGGAGGAGTGACGTCATCTCGTAGAGGAGCGGGCTGTCAGTCTTGATGGATGGCCTTTCTGTCGTTGTCGATCCAGTTGTGTGAAAGAGGGCACTTCTATTGGATGTTAGCAGAAAGTGAGAATCCTCTCTAATGGCTGTGCCGAAGGTTGTGCAGAAAGTAGTGGGGGAAAGATTGAATATTTCCTGATAGATGCATTGAATTTAGGATTGATGGGAGTTTAGAGTAAATTAGAGTTTAATGAAAATTTAGAGAAAAGTAGATTAAAATTTAGTAAGAGGGGGTTCATTCGCCGATTGGTGAATGAACATTTAAATAAATTAAAGCGGATTGTAGGAGTCTAGGAGAATTCTCCTAGGTCTTTTTGAGTATCCAGAGGGGTGTAATTTTCTAGATTGATGATGTTGGTATTATTGATGTTGGGGAGATTATCATAAAAATTTTTGGCTAAGTCTTGTATATGTTTTTTAAAAGGAGGTATTTTGATGGCTCTGTAAATATTTTCGTTTGAGTTGTATCTGCATGCTCTTACGATACATCGGATGATAGAATTTTGTGCAGTTTCTAGGATTTTTATGTTTGTGTTAGCTGCGTAGCCCCATATGGGACATCCGTAGCTCAGAATTGGACGCAAAACGGCCGTATAGAGACGTACCTTATTGTATAGATACATATTGGAATTCCGGCAAATTAAGGGGTAGAGTTTCTTTAATGCGATCCGGAATTTATCGCGCGCATAAAGAATATGAGGCTTCCATGTGAGGGTTTTGTCAAAAGTAATTCCAAGGTACTTGGTTGTTTGAGACCAGCGTAGTGGTGTGGAATATAGAGTGGGCGGCGCAATTGGTTTGCGAGCTTTAGTGAATAACACCGCAACGGTTTTATCCACGTTGATTTTAATTTTCCAGTCATTGAAGTATTTTTCGAGTAGGGCCAGGTGTTTGTTTAGTGCAATTGTGACTGATTTTGTATTTTTGTAAGTGGCTGAGATCGCAGTGTCATCAGCATATAGATTAATCATAGTGCGTGGGTGTGAAGGTATATTATTAACGTAAATGTTGAATAACACAGGTCCCAAAAGGGAACCCTGTGTTACCCCAATGTTGACGCGGTGTGTAATTGAGAGCGTGTCGTTCACTCTGACTTTGTATTTCCTGTT